CTATGTATTAATGGATCATGGTGATCTTGTAAAAGAACAGTGAAGGGGGGAAATGGAAATTGTGAATGTTGACATTATTGTAGAGACATTGAAAATGGAGAAATGTTATAAGAAATTATGTATTGCATCATGTTCTCATTTGATTTATTATCATTGTTACACATATTGAAATGAATTGGAAAAGGTTTACTTTGAAAAAGATTATGTTGCAATGAGAATTATGGAATCGTGAATGGGGTAAATACGTGGTAAATCCGGATAGGGGTGTAGTTGAATTTGATAAGTTGGCCTGAGTGTCCAGGGTGAAAGACCCGAAAGTCGTGCAGATAGGTGTCGAGCCTTCCGATTAATACCGGTAAAAATGACAGTTTAGTAGTACTCGTAGAGTCTACTTGTAGACACCAGCCTAGGGATTACCAGTGTCGTATTTACCGCCTCCGTTGATTAATGATTGGAAATTTTGGGAAAAATGTTGAGTTGGCAAATGATTGTTGGAAAGATAGAAACTTTTAAATGTGCATGAAGTGGACTTTTTTATAAGGATGCATGGCAGGGCATTAACAATTGCATTTGTTTTAAAGAGTATGCATAACTGTATATACTTTGTAAGAATTCTCTACTGGGCTTTGTGCTCACCTCTATGGGATTTGGTGTAGGTAAAGATGTGATAATCCCGCCGAACTGAGGGCGTAGATATTTTGAGAAGAGTACATAGCTCTTTTATTTTGTGTAATTCTTTTGAGCCAATGGCTAATATGTATGGGTTGCAGAAACCATTTTTGTGTAACCAGGCTTATGCCTTGGAAGATGTAAGCCCTTAAGGGCATTATATTGTTTTGAGAATGGACGTTTTACATGCTATAGATTCATATATTTGTATTGATGAATGTATACCCGCATGTAAAACCTTTGTAAAGACTCTTTATTAATTATGTAAAGATGGGCAGATTATTGTTATTGTTGGGTAAATGTTGAATTATTTCAGGGCATTACACTTGGTCACCAGAAAGGGCATTGAGGCAAGCTCGGATCAGATTAAGGCCATCTTGGAGTTGAAGAGCCCAACGTCGGCAAAATAAATGCAGATGTTGACTGGAAGGGCTGCAGCCCTAAATAGATTCATAAGCAGAAGTTCTGACAAATGCAAACCTTTCTTTAGTTTAGTAAAGAAAGCCACAGACTTCTTATGGATAGAAGAGTACAAAGTCGTCTTGGTCGACTTGAAGAAATACTTGACCACTGCTCCAGTTCTCTCAAATCCAATAACAGGAGAGGAGTTGTTCTTATACTTGGCGGTTTCAGAGCATGCAGTAAGTGCAGTGGTAATCAGAGAAGATAAGGGAGAACAAAGGGCAGTTTACTACGTAAGTAAAACCCTAGCAGATACAGAGACTAGATAATTACCCTTGGAGAAACTGACAATGGCCTTAGTAATGGCTTTCAAGAAACTGAATCACTACTTTCAAGCCCACAAGATTGTGGTATTAACTGAGCATCCTTTGAAGTCCCTGTTGCAGCAAGGGGATCTGACAGGCAAGATAGCCAAATGGGCAGTGGTGTTGGGCCAATACGACCTAGAATTCAGACCCAGAACAGCAATCAAAGGCCAGGTTTTGGCCGACTTTGTGGCCGAGTTCACACTAGGCGCCATTATATATCGGGTTCCGTTGAGCCAGGGTATACGATATCCAGGTGAACAAGGAGGAACCCAACTGGGGATAATAGAATAAAGAAAAGAAGAGAAACTCAGGCCCTGCAGTGTTTATGTCGGTGACTCATTCCGCCTGTTTGTTGATGGAAGTTCAAACCGACAAGGAGCAGGGATAGGAGTAATACGAGTATCGCCGGATGGACAGATGCTGGAACAATCCATTCATTTGGGGTTTAAAGGCCTCAAACAACAAAGCAGAGTATGAAGCGTTGATCGCAGGATTAAAGTTGGTAGTAGCAATGGAAGCCGACGAGGTGATGGACTTTTATGACTCCCAGCTTATCGTCAACCAGGCCATAGGTGAACACGCAGCCTGATATGAAAAGATGATGGCCTATGTAAAGGAGGTGGACAAATTGGTAGCCTTATTCTAGAATTGCCGACTACGACAAGTTAGCTGAGATAACAATAGCTATGCTGATGCCTTGGCTAACCTAGCTAGTATAATGAAACCAGGAGAGGCAAGGACAATAATGGTTGATTATTTGTCAAGTCCAAGTGTAGAACCACTGAACACAGAGTATGAGGCAATGTGTATGGAGATGGGACCAAGTTGGATGGATGCGATAATAGTATTCCCTAGAGATGGGAAACTGCCAGATGATCATAAAGAAGCACACAAGATCAGACTGAAGTCGGCAAGATTCAGTCTGACAACAAAAGGACATCTCTACAGAAGATCTTTTACTGGTCCCTTTTTGAGGTGTGTACATCCTTCACAAGTTGAAGAATTCCTGTATGAAATACACGATGGAGTATGTGGAAGCCACGCTGGGGGCAGGTGACTTACTCATAGGGCCATTACTCAGGGGTACTGGTGGCCCTATATGCAGAAAGATGTTGAAGCTTATGTCAGAAAGTGTGAAAAGTGTCAGAGGTTTACACCTTTGGTATACCAACCAGCATCAAATTTGAACCCAGTGTCTAGCCCTTGGCCATTTGCCCAATGGGGCATGGATCTTGTTGGACAACAGCCTCAAGCGACTGGACAAAGGAAGTTCCTGCTAGTGGCAACAGATTACTTCACCAAATGGATAGAAGCTGAACCCCTTGCAAAGATTCAGAACATTGATGTAAAGAACTTCATATGGAAGAACATCATCACCAAGTTTGGGATTCCAAGGGCGATAATAACAGACAATGGTACACAGTTTGACAGTAAGCTAATCAAGAGCTTCTGTGCAAAGTACAAAATCAAGAACTACTATTCTATTCCAAGATTCCCTCAAAGCAATGGATAAGTAGAAGCATCCAACAAAACTATCTTGGATGGGATTAAGAAGAGGCTGAAAGCAGCAAAGGATAAGTGGGTGGATGAGTTGTCCAATGTACTCTGGGCATATCGGACTACGCCGAGAAGATCAACTAGGGAGTCACCGTTCGCCATGGCTTATGGCACAAAAACAGTTATTCCATTGGAGGTCGACATCCCAGGGATCAGAACCCAAGGAGTAGAAAATGGGACCAATGAGGCATTCTTGGCCCGAGATCTGGATCTGTTAGAAGAAAAAATGAAGAAAGTAGCAATTCAGCTGGGGGCATACCAGCAGCAGCTTGCTAGAGCTTACAATAAGAAGGTCAACCCACGAGAGTTTCAAGTCGGAGACCCCGTCCTGAGAAAGGTCGTCGGCAACAAGAAGGATCCCAGAGAGAAAAAGCTTGGGCCAAATTGAGAGGGACCTTATAGAATCATCTCGGTCCTGGGCAATAGGGCATATCGACTTGAAGACAGTGAAGGCAAAGAATTGCCAAGACCCTGGAATACTTGTAACCTGAAATTTTTCTATTATTAGATTTTTTGTTTTTTAAAGTTTTTTGTTATTAGCCGAAGTAATAAATAAAATTTTAGCTCGATTTTTAATTTCAAAACTTGTGTAATACGACTGACCAGTCACTTGGCGATGTTTCTAAGTAAAACATGACGAATAACTTAGACTTATTATATGAAAAAGTTGAATTATACTTGCATATAATATAGTTGAACTAAGTTGGTGACGTTTCTAAGTGAAACATGACGAATAACTTAGACTTATTATATGGCAGAGTTGAATCATACTTGTATATAATACAGTTGAATTAAGTTGGCGATGTTTCTAAGAGAAACATGACGAGTAACTTAGACTCATTATATGGCAGAGTTGAATTACATTTGCATATAATGGAGTTGAACTAAGTTGAATTAACCTGGACTTGCCATATTGGCAGAGTCAAACACAAGTTGAAACTACGTACATTTGAGTAAGATTAACAGAGGAACCAAGGTTGAAAACCTCGGCTAGTCTTTGTTTGAATATAACTTTGGCAACAAGATCATAGCCGCATGTTTAATGAGAACCTAAGTGGAACTTAAGTTCACATTAGGGGGCAAGGAGCTGGAAAGTAATAAAGTACTTGGACTTGTTGAAATTTTGTACAAAAATTTACAAGTTAAAGCTAAGCCCATGTAAATTTAAAAGAAGTACATACGTACTTTCTGAGTTACCAGGTTGCCAAAACTTGAAGTATGGAAGACTGAAGTCTTGGTAGAAGACAATAAGTAAGGTGGCAAGTTTTAAATAAACACTTGTGAAAATATTTTTATAAATGTTTTTAAGTGTTAAGCCAAGGCCGAGATAAACAGTCATGGGGTATATCTGAGGTATTTTACCCCAAGGAGGTTGCACAGTTAAGGTGTACTATGAAGATATGCAAATTATTCTAAGTGAGTAAAGAAGAGACAAGCATTCAAACACTTAGTCAAAAAAGAAAACTTGCATTCAAAAAGACAACTTGTTCAGATGCAAAAAGGCACATCGGCCAAACTAAAGTTAAAACATTGTCCAAAAAGTTACAATGACTCCAAAAAAAAATAAAAAATACAAAGTCAAGAAGTAACAACTGGTATCTAGACTACTCAGCGTCGGCGGCAGGATGTGTCTCGGCCTCAGAAAACAACTGTGAACTCTTCTCGGCAGCCTTCTCAGCCTCGAGCTCAGTGTCAATCTCTTGTAGAGTTTGGTCGAGACTCTTCTCGGCGATTGGCACCTCAAATACAGTCTTTTTAAGGGAGACACTTTGTGAGACCTCATCATCCTCATCATGAGTCAAGTCCAAGACTTGCTCATTCAGAGTTGGGGACTTGGCCCCAGCAGCTTCGACCTTCTCGGTCTCAATGGCCTCGGCCTCCTCCTCGGACTCATTTTCATCCTCAGATTAGCTTGGAGTAGGGAGGAATGGCAAGACAAGGCGGCTATCTTCTCGGAAAGGTAAATCCTCGAGGACAACCAACTCCTTCAAGGTAGCCATCTAGCTAAGGGTGTAACCCTTGTTGCATGCCTGTTTTGTAGTCTTCTCGGACGTCGGCTGCCCTTTCGGCATAGGCCTTCTCATCCGCCGCTTTGATCTCGGCGTCCTTTATGGCCAAGGCAGTTCGGAGCTCGGCTTGGGCTTTGGCAATTTTTGCTTCGGCCTCTTTATTCTCGGCTTTGAAAACCTCAGCAACAGCCTCTGCAGCCCCGGCCTTTTTTTCGGCCTCGTCCTGAGCTTGCTTGGCTGCATTGGCCTGATCTATCAAGGATTTCATTTTGGCCTTGGCTTTGTTCAGGGACTTGAGCAATCTAGCAGCCTTCTTGGTCTTGTGGACCAATTCTTTCTTCATTTCCTCTGTTTGCAATGCAAAGGAGTGGGCGTGCTGGATCGCCTAGAAGAAATGCAAAGAACAAAGTTAGTAAATTCAGTAAAGTGTGAAAACAGAGAATAAAGAGTACCAGGTGTTAGGAGTTTACTAGTACAGAATGCTGCACCATCAGAGCGAAATTTTCATATTCGCTGACCTCGGCCATACGATTAAGGTCATTCGGAAGGAGCAGTGCAGTTGAGAGGGCAACGCCGACCTCAATGTCAACTACACTATCACCAGTTCTAACTGGCTTATCTTCAATCGTAATGGATAGGGACCTCAGCTTTTTTAACCTGGTAGATTTAGAGAGGTCGTCCTCAGCAGGCCTCTTCTCGGCGGCGGAGGAACTCTTCTCGTCCTCGGCTAATTTTGAAATCGACAAGGTGTCCTCAGAATCGATCTGAGTCACCGTTGCCTTTGCTTGGGCCTTCTTCAGTCTCTTTGGCTTCGGTTTTGGCTGGGACTGAGAAGGTGAAGATTGGACTGTGACGACATTAGGGATGTCGACTAGAAGGTCATCTGCAACAGCCTTTTTGCAACCCATCTCGTCGGCGGCAACGGCGACAGTGACTTTAGTGCCGGAGTGAATCGCCAGAAGTGCAGTCGGTGGGTTAGCTGGATCGTAAGCCAACGTCTCAGTACTTCGGTGCCTTTGGCTACGAGTTCTGCCTACGGGGGCAAACAGTGGAGCTCGACGTCGGCGTTGGCACTGAGAAGGTGGAATCAGTTGTGGAGCAGAAGTAGATGGCTGCTCCGCTGGGTCGGATGTAGAGGCTTGGTCAGGCCTTGGTGATGAGGTAATTGGGGGACTTGTTGCTAACGGTGGAGACTTGCTCTTCTTGGGAACGTCGGGACGGATGGATTTGTAAGCCGGGATGTAGTTCAGCAGTAGAAGAGCCTTGTGCTGATTAATGGGGAAGTCCAGCAGCCTCTTGAAGTCTTTGCTGGGAAAGAATGTCTTGCGAAAGTCCTGTGGGGGCTAAGGAAGAATTGCAAAGTAAAAACAAACAGATGTTAGAACATACGAAAGTATCAAAGTAATAAAAGACTTGAAAGCAAGTAAAGTGACACTTGGCTCTTACCATTTCCCTCTTTGAACACTGTTCGGCTTAAGGGGTAGAGGTGAAGGTCATCACCTGGTGGAAACTCCCAGTTGCCCGAGATGATGAAATAATCATCTCCAGCACCTTTGTTGGAGTTTGGGAGGTCAGCGATAAGTTTGTACTCGGTGGATCTCGGCTTGAGGTAATAGATGTAGCCTTTTTCGAATTTCAGGCCACACATGGTATAGCAGTACTAGATATCGACTAAAGTTATCCTAGCATTCTCTCGGCTAGCTAGGGCGATTATACCATTAATAACTCAGTAAGAGTTAATGGTAAGCTGCATTGGGTTCAGTTTGTAATAGTGAAGGACTTGGCAGAAGAGGATGTCAAGGGGGAACCTAAGCCCACACTCAATAAAGGCCACTACAGGGAAAGGCATGGAGTCTCCATTAGGCATGATGGAGTCCTCCTTCCCTACCAACCTAAGGTGGACATCGACAGTGATGGCAAACTCCTGCCAAAAGTACTCTAGCTTAGCAAGAGTATCAATTCTCCACCTAAACATTCCCATGATATCGGCTTGAGAGGTATTGGTACACAGTTCAGGTGAGAGAATTCAGAAGAAGGTGGATTGTGTGGGTGTAAGGGACCTCGGCTAAAACCTAAACGGATGCTGAGGCAAGAGTTTTGGAGGATCTGAGGGGGATTCGTTTCAATTTCTCTAAGAATTGGAGTTCTAGGGCAAATCCCAAACCTAGAGTTACTAAAATAGGAATTGAAGGCAAGAATCTGGCAAATCCAACAAGAAAACAGAAACAAGAACATGATTCAAACTCAAGAAGACAAACAAGAATTCAAATAACACTGCGTAAAGTTTGTGCAGGTGTGCAAAGCCAAGGACAGTGGCAAATTGTGAAGATAAATGTATGAACAGTATGTGTGTGCATAACAGAGTGGGCAAACACGAAATTGCAAAATAGAAACATACTCAAAACATGCTAAATGATGAGATTTAAAAACACATGTAAAGCCTGGAGAACATGAATGCATTCACCATGGCAGAAAACAGAAGCAACGAAGTTTTGAGATTAAAAAATGGGGAAAGCAGTGACTTACCGCAGAAAAACGACGTCGGTATGAGGTACGTCGAAGTCAGACGATCACAGTGAGTGGAACGGAGCGGTGAATGCTTTGCCGGAAGAGATGATCGGAGCAAGTACAGAACTTGGAAAGCTTGAAACAATGGCGGATTTAGAGAGAGAAAGCTTGAGAGAAATCAAAGAGCATAAAGTGAAAAGACGAAAAGAGAGGCGTTTTTAATCAAAACACGGAAAGGTGGCAAAATTACAATTAGTGTGCTTAGGACGACGTGTCCGTCAGGTGGCATGCGCATAAGTGATACGACTTGATGGCGCGTGTCAAGTACGGCTCAAAAGGGAAGAGACGCGTGGCGAAAACGGTTGAGTTACTGTGCGTGACAGCTCATACACATATAGAAACTCTTGGAAGTATTGATCTAATGAAGCAAAGACCTCGGCAATGGGAACGATCTCGGTTAAAGAACTTGAAAAAACTTGGTTCTTGGTTCTAAGGCATTAATGAAAACATAAGTCTGGGTCATATGGAGCCGACGAATGATGACCTCGGCAATGAAGGATAGAGCAAGCTTAGCTGACATGCTATATGGTCAAATGATATAGGTTCCATCACCTCAGGATGCCGAGGTAATAAAACCTAAGGGGTAGTTGTGGAGACATATTTTTTGAATAACAACATGTGGCCAAGGTGGCACCGAAGTGCCAGCCGAGGTGCCACGTGTTCTGGTCATGACGCCGAGATTATCTCTGCTAGGCCGAGGTTATCTACTGAGATACTGGAATCCGGAATAAACGGATAAGCTATAAAAGTACTAGAATGGGAGAGGACCTCAACCTGGATAAGGACAAAACTCTTAGGAAGTTTATCTTTATCTATAGGAGAATCCAGGATGAACATTGAGCCAGAGTCCAAGAAAAGCTAGGCTTCTAGAGAAACCAGGTTAGTGCTAGCTATAAAAGTAAGGCACCCTCATGGGTCTAAGGTACGTTTTTTGTTTCCTAGATAATGAGTTAAAGCACTATTTGCTGTCTTTGAGAGATAATTGAGTACTAACTTGATCGTCGGAATACCCCCGGGTGGACGAACCACCGCCAGAGTCTCATCTTTCTGTGACAGGTCATGTGGGCGCAATCTATTCTGCCGGTGTTCTCCAGCTGAATACCTGTTTGGCAGTGTGGTTAGAAAACAGCACGCACATTAATTATCAAGTAATTGTGTTGATGGTTCTTTTGTCTCAATGAAAAGGATTTCAAAATTGCCAAGTGTTAAAGAAAAAAAAAATTAAAAGAAAGAGGATAACGGAGAAAGATGATTGAGTGAATAATTATGGTGATTAAGTGAACTATCAAAATAACAATTACTTACCACTACTTCTATACTTTGAAAATGAAGTGCATACAATGTTTCGAAAATGAAGTGCTGAAAATAAATGCTTCAAAAAGAAAGTGTGTAAAATAAAATGCAAGAAATATAAATGATAAGAAAAATAGAAATCAATTGTCTTTGATTTGAGTTCTGGATCCTTTTACAATGTAACAATTGATGGCTATTTATAGAGGAAAAAATAAAGCAATAACTACTTAGTAACTACCTATTTCTCCCATCTTCATCATTGTCTTGTCATGTGTCCTTCCACTCATCCACTTTATTCTTCATATTCTCCATCATCTCCATAACTTTTTTTAATTTTCAAATGAATAAGAGGATGTTACGTGTTCTGAAAATAATAATAATATTTTATGGTGCCAACAGTAATGTTAGGGATATTAAATTTTCTACCAAACAAATGATCAAATGTCTTACATGGATGTGGGGTCTGCAAATTTGTAGACCTCATACCCATGTGAGACATTTGTCATTTATTTGGTAGAAAATTTGGGACCTATAACATTTTTCCTTCTCAAATTCCCTCTAATTTGCCTAAATTTCTTCATTTGCCCTTCAAATTCATGAAAAGCTACAATAATATATTTTGGAAAGGAGATCAAAAATTACTTTTTTGATTTTTTAATTATTTTTTTAAAAAAATTTACAAGAAAATAAAAAAGGATATAAAAGTTAGCGTTTAATCCACTTATTAAAATAAACCTGTGTTAGATCTTAATCATGGCTCAATGGTTATCAGTTTTTTATCTACCTTTTTGTGTTGTTTTATTTATTTATTCATCATTGTCATTTTTTTTATATTTCTATGTTTCTTTATAAGGCTTCATTTGGCAAGAGCTAAACGGGGTTTTTTTGGCTATTTTAGACACAAAAGACAAAATAGGCTATTTTAGCTACAAAAAACAATATATCACATCCAACCCATAATCATTACATTCTTCTCTCACAAAAAAAGTCAAAAAATCAAAAAGTTCTTCCTAAACCAAACTTTTTAGCTCGGGCTAAAATAGCCAAAAAAGTCAAAAAATTAAAAAGCTAACCCACTTCCCAAACGGAGGCTAAGTAGTATTCAAGCCTATTTTGACTACATACTTTTTTAGTCAAAAGTTAAAAAGTTATTACAAAAAAATTAATTTTTTTTAATACATTTTTTATAATAAATTTAAAAAAATTAATCTTTTATAATAAATTTAAAAAATTAATTTTCAAACAACCTCTGGTCAAAAAAATTCTCAATATTATTCTTGCATACAATATTTTACGTTGGTAAATGTTAAATGTTGCTCCTAAGACATTGTTCACCACTGCAACTATGTTAAAAAAAACCCTTGAAAATAACTAAAAATGTTAAGAAACAGCTTGCTTGGTTCTATTTTTTCAAAAATACTTTTCAAAAAATTTTACTTTCTTATTTTTCGTGTTTTTTTGTTTTACTGAATTTTTCTAATATTTTAAGCAATTTTTTTACTTTTTAGACACACCTAATATAAATACACCTAAAAAGTAAAAAAATTATAAAAAAAATCTTTTAAAAATTCACTAAATACCAAAACTACCAAAAAAATGCAAGAATTCAATTCATTTTTTGTATTTTTATGTATTTATTAATTTTTTAAAATATTTTTTCACACATTTTTTACTTTTTAGATACATCTAAGTAAGGTGCATCTAAAAAATAAAAAAATTGTTCAAAATTTTAAAAATATTCACTAAAAACAAAAAAATACAAAAATTAAAAAATTTAATTTTCAAAAAACTTAATTTAAAAAATTCAAACCAAACACATTGATTGATTTTATTAAAAATACATTAAATTAAGTGAGGAGTGCCTCATGTTTTTTAATTTTTTTTTTTCTTAGTTTTTTCGTCCCATCCCGAGAACACTTATTAGCAAGACCCTTTCACCTTAGACCGGTTCGGTGCATTCTTTTTAAAGCTTCTCAAAAAATATATATATATATACTTCCAAGCTTATAGATAATCTATAAGCAAAAATTATATATTCTAACATAAAATTTTAAAATTTTAAAAAAAAATGCTGAAAAGTCCACTCTAGCAATTGTCTAAGGCATTACGTTCAATGAATATTTTTTGTTGGTGAGAGATCTATCATTTATAAAATAGTTTGGTAAGAAATCTTTTTATTTATTTTGAAAGACATTTTGTTTTCAATTTTACCCCTTAATTTATATGTTGGTTTTTTTTGACTATCTGTTCAAATTTTTTTGACTATCTATTTAAATTTATATCTGTTTGTTCAAATTTTTTGACAGCCTGTTGAATTTTTTTCCCTATTTGTTGAAATATTTTTTTATCTGTTAAATTTTTTTAATTTATCTGTTGAAATTATCTACTTAAAAATCTATCTATTAAAATTTACCAAACTTTTTTTTTCTTATCTGCTGAAATTTACATAGCACATTTCGATGATCTGTTGAAATTATTTGTTCAAAAAATTTATTTGTTAAAATTTACTAAACTTATTTTTTCTTTTATTTGTTCAAATTTACAGATCTATTAGAATTTTTTCCCAAACCTGCTTTCTCTCGTATCTCTTGAACTAAGACTCCCCTTATGCACAAATACATGATCTGTTGAAAATGTTAACTAAAATGTTGTATTTGTTCAGTTTCAATCAAACAAATGGCATTCCATCTAGATCTTACCATCATAACATTAATAAAACAACTAAAATAAAATAAAAACTAATGAATAACACCACCACCACCAGCAGATACATTCAAATCACAAACACATGTTTTCATAGCAGATTTACACACATTACAGATCTAGATGGAAATTCACGCAACACTCCAAGATCCATCAAAACAACCAAAGATCCATCACCAAGAAAATAGCGAGAAATTAATCGACGAACATCTCGCAAAGAGACAATACATATGTATGTATAGGTGTATATCATGAAGAAGCTTACAAGAATCCATGTGTAGTATTGTATTCAAAGAGACTTTGTAATCATATAGAGAGATAGAGAACGGGGGATTAGAACTTAAGATTTGGAAATCGATCTCCATGGAAATCGTTATCGAGATTTTCTGTCCAAAATTGCAGAGTTCGAAAATGAGAATGGTGTTTAAAAGAGAAAGAGGCGGCGGCGGAGGAGGAGGGAGATCGGCGTTGTTCTCGGGTCCAGAGCCCCTCAAATCCGTAATCTATTTGAGAGACCTTAGATCTCAGAGGATGAAGAAGATCCTCTGCATTACCGATTAAATTCTTCTATATTTTCGTTAAAATTCAAGAGAAATGAGTTTTAATAATACCTAACAAGTCCTATGGAGATTACACTGGCTGTGAGAATGATGGAGGACGCGTTGGCGCCAAAGAGGCTAGTGGCGATGGCGAAAAGGATAGTTAGGCCATTAGAGATGCAGCTGATAATGTCACGGACGATCTCAGCAATAGTGAAGTGCTTACACCATAGTGGCGAAGAGGTTCTCTCTCTCGAGGTCTTCCACCGTGGCGGCATTGAGGCTTATTTTGGGAAGTGGGTTAAAAGTCATTTTTCAACTTTTAACCCACTTTCATCTCTTACAAAAAAATCAAAAAAAATTATGAAATTAACTTTTAATCATTTTTTCAAAACACCCCTAAGCGGCGAAGGCCAAGTCTAAGAGTTTAGAGAGAGAAAGAATTAGGATTTAAATAGAAAAAGAGAAAAAAAGAATTGAGGGATTTTAATCATATATATATATATATATATATATGGATAATTTGGACATTTTGTACCATAATGTCATGGGCAAAGCTTCATAGCGCATGTACATTTCATCGAACAAATTTTAATTTTAGATTTACGGACCGACCAAAAAAAAAATTATAAACAAATATTTTTTGTTAAAGGCAAGGAAAAGGCCAAGGGAGTGGCATATTGGTAATTATATATAAAAGGCAAGGCTAAATAAAGGAAAAAGTCGTCAAAATTTGAAACAAGTGGCCGTTTGAACGTCAGAAAGACATCGAAGTTTAAACCACCACCCAACATCCAACATCATCATCTTCAATTACTCTCTAACTCCACCACCCCCACTCATTCAAATCACTTCATTCACTCCTCAGCTCTCCCTCCATAGACAGACACAGAAAACTCAAAAAATTCAGTAGAGAGAGAGAGAGATGACAGCCATGGTGATGGTGACAAAGGGTGGTGGTGAAAGTGTTGGATGTGGTGGTGGGAAGGGAACCAAAGAAGCTGAAGATCAGCAAAACAATAATCTCTCTCTCGTTGCATTCCTCTTAGCAGCTCTCAGAAAATCCATGGTCTCTTGCCGAATCGATCGCAATGATGAATCCATCTCCACCGTCCACCACATGGAAATCGGATGGCCAACAGATGTCCAGCACGTAACCCACGTCACTTTCGATCGATTCGATGGGTTTCGTGGTCTTCCTGTTGAGTTCGAAGTCGAGATACCCGGCAGAGTACCCAGTGCCAGGTTTTTTTTTTTCCTTCTTCTTCTTTTATTTTCCCCAAATTTTCTCTTTTAATAAGTCTCTTAAATTTCAAAAATCTTGATTCGAATCTAAACAAATTTAATTTTTTTTAAAAGAAAAAAAAAATCGTTCTTGCGATTTGATTACGATTTTCGTAGCAAAAGATTAAACATTAAGCTTCAAAGATTTGAAATTGAACCCAAGTTTTTGAAGTCAACGTTTTTTCCCCAAGAAATTCTGTGCTCTTTTGATGATGACAGCATGAGAGGAGACCTGTGTTTGACAAAAATTGAGACCAAAAGTGAAAAGATATATAGAAATCTTGAATATTCTTGGGCAGTGTTTGAATCTTGGATTTGAGGATGGATCTTTCAAGGGAAAAGTGGCAAGTTCCTATTTTTGTCACCTTTACTTTCTTTTTTCCTTTCCCTTCACAAATACTTGCTTAAATCGACGATTCAAACATAGTCTTAGTGCAGAATTCTTTAGCGAGGTGGATTAGCACCATGTTTGTGCATGTCTTTTTTCTCTTTTTTTGTTCACAAGTTTAAGCTTAGGGACTGGAGGAGAGGTATGGAGGATTGTAGTCTGGGGACTATTTAGGATGTGTTTTTTGAAGAACAAAAATTGAAAACAGAAAACAGAAACACAATCAAATGGCTATAAAATTCTCATTTGAAGGTTATATTTTCCTCAAAACATAGTGATCAAATAGTTTTTTTCCAGATTATGAGCAAACTGACATATTTTTGGCATTGTGTGAACAACATGGGAAAAAAAGAGAAGTTAATGTATGAGAGAGAGAGAGAGAGACTGTGCTTGACAAAAAATGAGATTAAAAGTGAAAATATAGAGAGATTTTAAAGCACACTAACTTATCATTTGAAGTTCATATTTTGTATTGTGAGATTTGTTTGCTAACTTGTGTAGTATCCAATTTTGCAGTGCTAGCGTTTTCGGTGTCTCAGCAGAATCGATGCAGTGTTGTCATGATTCAAGAGGCAATAGTGTCCCTACAATTCTCTTACTAATGCAAGAGAGGCTATACTCCCAAGGAGGTCTAAATGTATAACTAACAGAGTGCAGAATGTTGTTGTGGTTCATTCTTTGACCTTGAATTGCTTCCTAACTATGTTTGTCTGGATGGTTTTTTGCAGGCAGAAGGAATTTTCCGAATAAACCCGGAAAACAGTCAAGAGGAGGAAGTGAGAAGCCAGCTGAACAGAGGCATCGTGCCCGATAACATTGATGTTCATTGTTTGTCAGGGCTTATCAAAGCCTGGTTTCGAGAACTTCCTTCTGGTGTGTTAGATGGGCTTTCCCCTGAAGAAGTTTTGCAATGCAATGCAGAGGAGGACTCGGTTGAGCTTGTGAAGCAGCTTCAACCAACCGAATCAGCATTGCTTAACTGGGCAATTGATCTCATGGCTGACGTTGTTGAACAAGAGGAATCCAACAAAATGAATGCTAGAAATATTGCCATGGTTTTTGCTCCAAACATGACTCAGGTAAATGAATCTGCCACAAAAGTGTTATTTGTTGGAAAATAATAGTTTTTCGGCAACTTTAATTCGAAATTAAATCGGGATCCAACCGTCGGTTGAGGTGGGTCTGAGTAGTTATCACACAAGCTTCGATTTGCTTCCTTTTACTAGTTTTATTTTATTATGAATTTCTGTAAATTCTAGTATGTTCTTGTTCTGAAATTCAAAGTGGCTATTCAATATGAATCTATTTATTTTATTTAAGTACACAATTTATACAACATTATTTCCTTCTCCAATTGACTTTGTTTGAAAGCCATCTCAGCTATTTCTGCATTAATCATGTTATTTTTCATGTTGTTTTCTTTTTCTAATCAGATGTCTGATCCATTGACGGCTCTAATGCATGCTGTTCAAATAATGAACTTGCTTAAGACATTGATCATGAAAACACTAAGAGAACGTGAAGAGGCTGCTGCAACAGAAGGAGGATACTCACCAATTTCGTCTCATTCTTCCAATCAGGAATCTGATGGGGAAATTGATAGCCACCGAGAGATGGATACCAGCTGCGAATTAAGAAGGCCGATGTCAGAATGTGATGACAACGCCCATTACAACAACAGCAGTGAAGATGAGGCTGATATCGAGTCTTTGAGAGAGGTAGAAGAGTGTTTCTTGACACAATTGGATGCGAAAATCATGAAAGAGTCAGTGGGAGATTTGCAAAGACCGCATGTGAGTCCTAGAAGTGGCTCTACATCTTATAGGGAGACTGGTGTTTCATTTTCTGATAGCAAAGTCGGAGGTTCTGGTTTGACCACAAGTGATGGGGAAGACTCTGCAGATACAAGTCTGGTTGTTGTTGCTTTGAAATTTCAATCAAAAAGATGGATGAACACCATTGATGTGGATATGGAAGAGAAATTGGTGGAGTCTGATTTGCCAACGTTTTTGCTTGGTGTTCAGTAAATCTGTCATGCTGGATCTCCATTTTATTAGTGATTTGGATTAGAATGTTGTTTGCATATTTTGGGTTTTCCTCCATTAGCCATAGTTGCTTCTGTAAATTGAAAAGTGTTTTCGAATGTTGCGCATAACTGTCAAAGAAGGGATGCCAGTTGTTCGCTAGTTGATTGTGAGTCATTGTCGCTTGAGGCTGACTTTATGCTTGTTGTATGTGATTCACTAGCAAAGGATGTTTAACTCTTGGCAATTTTAGATTAGAATGCCTGTGTTCTCTCTCTCTCTCTCTCTCTGACAATTTTAGGAATATTCATACTAAAACTTGTATGTCTCCAGCTCATGTCAATTATCTGTCACAGAAGATGCAAAATTTCTGTTGAAGAGATGCAAATGCTCCATTGAACAATCCCTGAGAGGGAAACATAATGAAATTGGCTAACCTGTGACTGAGTAGCACAAGATGAACATGTTGTAGTCCTAGAAGACCCTACAGAATCAGTTAGCGTTTTGGTCATAGCAGATTTGAGTTTGCTATGAGCGCGATTAACCCTCCATTTTGTATCGACCTATTTTAATTTCTGTATGTTTGTTTCAAACTTTCCTTCGTATCCAAATAAATAAATAAATTATCTATAAGCATCTCCGATGTTAGTAGGTATTTCACCTATTAAAACATTACTATGAAGTATACATTTTATTTTGCTTATCAACTTTTTCATCTTTCTACTCCAACGATCCTTTTTGTTTTAGCTATTCATCTAAATATTATTGGCTTTATAGAATGTCACATCAGTAACAAAGACAGAGAGAAATGATCATAACGTTTAAATACATTTTGTCTAATCTTTGAATGCTAGATACATGTAATTAGTGAAAGTGAATTGAGCTAAAAATATCTAATGATATGCCTAGTACATTGGAGTTGCAAAAAGAGTCCTACTAAGAGCATCTCCAACAGTGGACCAAATTTTTCATCAAATTTGAGTAAAAAAAAAGTCAATTTTCTCAATCTGATATGGCTTGCTCCAACCGTGCATCAAAAGGGAAGGGGTCGACCGGTAAGGCTAATTTTTTATTTTTTTTACTTGTTTGAACCTTTTTGACCAGATTGAACCTACCTATTTGGAAGGGAACCGGTTGCCCCGTCCAACGATCCAGAATAGTGAAATACTGAAATACAGAAGCTTGTCCTCAGTTTGATGAAATGTTTGTTCCATTCTCATTTTGATATCAAATTGGTAAAACCATTGGAGCTTGAAAAAATCACTTTTTCATCAAATTTCAAATCTGATGCATGGTTTGATGCACCGTTGGAGATGGCCTAAGCATTTTGACTAACAAACATTATACACCGAGGGAGTTGAAAATGTTTTAACAAATTATATTAGAGAGGCTTATTCAATGAATTCTTGTTATTGGTTCGGTTGTAAGATATAGCAATTGACACAAGGATAGTATTGTTAAAGAGTTAATTACAGAGGCCTCAACTATGACCAAATTTGACTTTACATCTTGATTTTAAAATTATACATCTGAACTTCTTAACTATAAAAAACAATATAAATGCACCTATTTGGAAGAGCAATTATTTAGTACTATCAAGGTTATTTTAGATTTCACCAGACAATGCTACGTGATATTTTTACCCCTACCCAACAATATTTTGATTATGTAATTTTATAATTTTATTTTAGCCTCCGTTTGGAAAGTGGGTTGGCTTTTTGGCTTTTTAACTTTTTTGGCTATTTTAGCCTGGGCTAAAAAGCTTGGTTTGGAAAGGACTTTTTAACTTTTTGGCTTTTTTGACTTTTTTTGTGAGAGAAGAGTCTAATGATTATGAATTGGATGTGATGTTTTGTTTTTTGTAGCTAAAATAGCCTATTTTGTCTTTTGTGGCTAAAATAGCCAAAAAAACCCACTTTAGTTCTTCCCAAATTCAAATATACAATTTTGAAGCTAAGGAAGGTAAATCACTATTTAAAAATAATTGAGAGAGCATCAATGTAATTAACCCTGTTGTTAAATATGGATTTGTATTCCCCAAATTTGTGTTCCTCTAATTTATTTTTATTAAGTAACCAAAATTTGTGTTCATTACAACTATTTTCAAACTTTGTTTTTTATTTTTTTTTGGGACTCCTGTTGGCACAAAGGAGAAAGATTCTAGTTTGGTCAAGATCAATAGGGAATATCCCATCATGAAAATGCAAGTAATTGCTTTGAAGATGCCAATAAGATTTTTAAACAAGTTGCACCCATCAAGCTATTCAATGTTTTCTATGAATGGAATCTGTCTATGTCAATGTTAACACTGTGTTTGGATTTAAAATTTAAAATATAAACATAATCACTTTTTTTAGTTTGAATTTTCTCAAAATACCTTTTAAAAAATTATACTTTCTTTTTGTATATTTTTTTTTACTTTTACTAAATTTTGTTAATATTTTAAGCATTTTTTAAAAAAATTTAAACATACTTAACATAAATACACTTAAAAAGTATAATTTTTGTAAAAAAAAATCTTCAAAAAATTCATTGAATACCAAAAATACAAAAAAAAATAAAAATAAAAATTCAATACATATTTTGTATTTTTGTGTATTTATTAATTTTTTAAAAATATTTTTTCACAAATATTTTAATTTTTAGGCACATTTAAATAAGATACATCTAAAAAAGTAAAAAAAAAATGCTTAAAATTTAAAAAATATTCACTAAAAACAAAAAAATAAAAAAAAATAAAAAACTCAATTTTTAAAAAACTTAATTCAAAAAACTCAAGCCAAACACACTGAATAGTAATATTCTTCAAAAAAAAAAAAAAAAAATAGTAGTCTTAGTAAAATCTTTTTTGGAGTCGGTCATTGTCAATAACACCTAACATGTGCATTTACATGGAGAAAAGTTGAAACTAAGGAACCAAATGGTTGAGAGAGGAACGGAACAAAAATTTATACATCACTCTTAATACAAACATCTTCAAGAACATATAACTTACAAAGTCATATATTCACAATTGAAAAAATTAAGAATAAAGTGGACTTGATTCACACTTTTTCATACACAACATGCTTTGAAAAAAAAAAAATTAAAAAAAAACAGCAACAACAACGAAAACAAGAACAAGAAGACATTCTAAAATCACTGGATTAGCTTAGTGATCAGAACTCTTATTTCTCAAGTAGGTCCCAGCCACCAATATACCAAAAACAGAAAGAAACAAGACCTACTTTCTAAGATGCCAAGCAAGCCTCCCAGAAAAGCCTGCTCTTTTCCATCTCATTCATCAATTCCATGGCTGAATCAACACAAACCCTCAATTTCTTGTGCTCCCTTGCTTTTGCAGAGCTGCTCATCACCACTTCATCATCATCTTCATCATCACCACCATCAGTCCAATCTTGATCAATATCTTCCTCCTCTTCACCACCATGATCAGCAACATGATAAACTTCATCATGGGTATGCCCTAGGTCATCAAACTTGCCAAGCTCACAGTTCATCAAGTCATCACAGCTGCATGAGAGTGCATCATCTTCCGCTGCATCCATCAGCTCCGCATCCACTGCAACTATATTTAGCTCAGAAATGGTCTCTGAATCACCTGTGGCCTCAAAGAGCATCATAGAAGATAAATCAACAAATTCTTTCTTCCCATCCATCTTCCTACACAGGAGGATGAGAAGAATTGGTTATTTGGGATAGAAGTGAACTTTCCTATGCATATAGTTGCCCATATTGATTATTGTTGTACAAAATATAATGATGATTAATTAAAGAAGAAAAGGAGTGATGTGGGCTGCCACCTTTTGTGGTGGGCTAACTTGACAAATCTGAAGCCATCTTATCTTCTAGAAGGAATTACAATCATAACAATTAGAAAAACCTTGATTAAGAGTAAGTACCACTATCAAGTTAATTATTTTTATTTTTTCAAAATAAATAGTCAATCGTAAAAAATTCAATCCCATAAAACTATCAAGCCAACTATAGTAGCATTTGTTATTGGCTAGTGAAACATTAATAAAAGATTACTTCATATTTAAGAGTTGTTGTATTAGTTAATAAAGAATAATTTAAAATTAAAAAATAAAGGAAATATTCAAAGTGAATAGAGAGATTGCTCAGAATGTATTTAAAAAATGACTATTTAAAAATAGAAAAGTACCTTTCTAACTAAAATTTGACTAAAAATTTAGTTAGTTTAATGAGAAGCTCTTTGTCAAAGAGAAGAATGCAATATATTTTAAGTTTTCTTAGAACTCACAATTCTACCAAAAAAAAGGAGTCAAAATAATTCGACAATTTTTCACCTTTGATTAGCACATTCAACTTTGTAATAAATTTTAGACCACCAACAATTTCAAAATTTTATTCAAATTTTAATGATCTATCATAATGTACGTTGCTCATCCTTGATTAACATCAAAGCATTAGAAAAATAATAATATTGCAGATTATCTAAAAGAGACTTGGTCATATTCATACTCCATTATATTAATGAGATTTGGTCTTCTAGAATACAACTGCAAATGCCACATCATCCATTATATTTAACTCTGGAAGGGTGGTCATACTCACACTCCTATTTCTATTAATGCACTTTATTTATTTATTTTTTATTTGTAAAGGTCTTCATATTTTTGGTAATTACTTTAATTGCCCCTCTTATCCAAAAAAAGTCCAATAACAAATTATCACAACAATACAACAAATCCACACATCCACAACTTCACAAGAAACACTGCTGAACAAATACAAAACAACAAATATAATGTGACTTACAATAACACATACAAATCCAAAAATTACACACAAAAAACTTTCAAACAAACACAAAAAGAGAAAAACTTAGTCCCCCAAAGCCGTAGAAAGATAAATTTTAATTTACATAGTTTGATTAATTTCACAAGTCATATATTTGTTTCCAAAATTCGTTGTCTAAATTGAAAATGTGGAGCTCAAAGGGTTGATGTTATGAAATCCAATTGTTGCAATAATTAAACAGACAACCAGCCAGCCAGCCGAACAAAACTGAAAACTTGACCAATACAGTACATGCACTTGCCCTGATTTATGTTTGATTCAAATTTTTGCATACGATCCATTTCTCTAACGTAATAATCTGAAAGCACATTTGGTGTGTGTTTGAATGTGTCGTGAACTTGAAAAATTGAGCAGCAAAAAGAATAGAGAACCCCCCATGCATATCACCATCAAACCCATTCAGCTAAAAATTGAAACGCAAGGTGCAATAAGTCCAGACTATATACCTCTGTAAAAAGCTGACTTTTGCAGCAACATGAAGTGTCTGCACTCATTCATCATCTCACCACCAAGACTTGTGCCTGTACTGTTATAGCAATCAACGCAAGCCAACCAACAAAATGTCAACACCCTGATTGTAGGAAAAACTATAGGTGTAAAAATAATTAGATACTGATAGTTATGGAAACAATGCACCATCAGAAGTTACCTCCTGCCTGAGATCAGTGACAGCTCGTGCGGTATGGGGGTTGCTTTTGTTGCTTGGGTAGGGAGGGGATGCTCACATCAAAGGCATAAATCAAATAACGCAAGCAAAATGATCTTCTACAAAGAAACCGACCGAGGAATAATATCTTAACTTTAAGCATCTCTTTTGAGACTTCATCAATAAGGAATTACCTGTTGCATTTGATTCCATTACAATGAAACAATCTGTTGGCCATCCATAAAAGCATGGCATCAGAAATAGTATTAAAAATAGAGGGCAAATTAACGGTGCAGTTAGCAGGTCCCTCCAAATTGCCAAGAATTCACCCATTCACCTCAACTTATCTATCTATATGTTTATAATATTGCTGTGGTTGTGACACCTGGATTACTTTGCTTTTGATTTTTTTTCTTCCTCTCTCGGTCTCTCTCTCCATAATCAATTTCATTTCTCATTGTGTAAGACAGTAAGTAATTAGTAAAAGAATTACTTCTCTTCAGAATTTCACTTCAAAATGCAATGTATCTAAACTTAATAGAAACTATTGAGGGACAAATAACTATTTCTTAGCTTATTCAACAATTAGCTAAATTTTTTATATTTAAATGCATCTTCATTTCTCATTGTGTAAGACAGGAAGTAATTAGTGAAAGAATTACTTCTCTTCAGAACTTCACTTCAAAATGCAATGTATCTAAACTTAATAGAAACTATTGAGGGACAAACAACTATTTCTTAGCTTATTCAACAATTAGCTAAATTTTTTATATTTAAATGCATCTTCATTTCTCAATGTGTAAGACAGTAAGTCATTAGTGAAAGAATTACTTCTCTTCAGAACTTCACTTCAAAATGCAATGCATCTAAACTTAATAGAAACTATTGAGGGACAAACAACTATTTCTTAGCTTCTTCAACAATTAGCTAAATTTTTTATATTTAAATGCATATTCATCTTTACTGTCTCCTTAACTTCCTTCAACTATTAATTTATTTATTATTACACAACTTAGTGTAATTTTATAATACTTCATTAACAAAACATTATAAATACTGTTAAAATCCACCTACTCTCCACCTACTTCACCCACTTAAACCTACTCCACTAAACCTAACCCACTACACCACTACCACCTCACCTACTCCACTAAACCTAACCCACTACACCACTACCACCTCCACTTCACCTACTCCTTACCTACTACACACTCACCCTCTTCTATATATAGGAATCATGAATCATTGTAATAGATATCAATATACAACAATCAATTCATCAATCAATAATACATACAATTTATTCTCTCTATCAATTTATTTTTTATAAATACAATACCCAAAATTGCCTCATTTTCATTGAAATCAACCATTATTGTTAAGCCAACCTAACAAAACCTAAATCCCTGAGAGATATAAAGATGTAATACACAACTAAAGCAATTTGAAATAACCCAAATTATAATGAACCTGAGGTACCTGATCACAAGTTGATCACCTGTATGGAATCTTATATTTTTCTCTTTTTCCCTTTACTTTCAGATAAGTACAATCTGTATGGCTTTCATGACCTGAAAATTCCAGCAGAAAAAATTTCTTAATCAGGTGAATATAAACATGAATTCCAAAATTGGTGTTTGACACTGTTCAAAATGACAGGTGTGTCAAGATGAGTCCTACACCAATTTGGACACTCAAAAAAAAAATTAAAATATATATATATATATATATAAATCCACCTCTATCAACCAAAAAAATCTGCAGAAAATGAGTGCACTTTTTTTATGTCACCAAACATGTCACAGAAGTTACTAATTTTTTAGTAATTTACTCATCATGATTCTCCTCCACATACGCAAACTTGAATATGGATATGTATACATGTGAGTGTGTGCGCACACGTCTCCAACATCACAGTACGATAAAGAAATCAAGCCTTGTACCATACCTGAGTCCTGGGAGCTCCCTTTTCCTACAGCCATGGTCATGTTCACATGCCACGATAATTTGTAAGTATGGTCAACTGGGACAGTAAATAACATTGAGGATATCAAACCTTGTCCATTAGGAGTCCCCTGTCTGACATATTAATGCTCTTCTTCATTCTTCCAATAATGGTTATGGTGTCAACATCCTAAAAATAAACAAACAGAAGGGAAGTTCAACATCAAAGGAATATTCAAAGTAAGACCAATTTCTTATGCTATCCAATTAACCCATGATAACAAGGACAAAAAAGGTTAGACACAGCAAAGAGCCAAACCAAAAGGAAAAAATTGAAATTCCCTCTTTTCTTGGACAACCAGAAGCAACTATGCTGAATGGGTGACGTTGAACAACCAAAATAGGAATGGAGCAAAAAAGACATGAAGAAAGGATGTCAGACATCAAGATGCACATGACATACAAAATACCTGAGATTCCCTGCACAGGGAAATTCATCTTCAACAGAAACATGACGAACAATCACTTGACTTGAGTTTGTGGTTCAAAACATCTGTTTTAGGACATGGCATTGACAGGAAGAATGCTTCAGTGCAACCCCAAATCTACTAACTTCAGAGGCATGCACAAGTGTCTGGGAAACAATGACTTACACAGAGGGAAGAAAGACAATGACACAAGCACTCTGAGCTGATACAACGCACAGGGAGAACACACGTGATGCTTCCAGAGTTTATCCAGCACAAAATAATTATACTTCCAAAAAAAAAAATTCAATAAAAGTGAAAGAAACAAGTAGCAAAAAAGTATTGTGGTCATTGAAGAGTGGGAAAAAAGAAACAAGAGTTTAGACAAGACAAACAATGGTTTGTCATGGATGTTTTTAAAGAATTATACCACTAACAAATGTTCTTGAGGGAAAAATCAATAAAATAATAATCAATGTCTAATGAAATTAATGTTATACAAAATTACACAATACATTGGCACAGAATTAACCAATAACTACAATTTTCAGGGACATCAATCCCATGAGTCAACTACAAGTAGGATGGAGTAATGCATTGAACCATCAACTGCCTTAAACCCACCCCGTAATAGCAGATACTGCAGTAATTCCCACATCAAGTTGCATGTGACCATCGTGTTAGGGTTCTTGCTTTCTTCCATTGCTTACCTTTGAATCAATAAGGATTAATCTGTTTGTTGTCTCTTTTAAGTTGTACCTTCAACTTTTTACCACCTAACTGGCAGCCATTCATCATATCAATTGCAGATTGAGCAGCTGCCACTGAGTCATAACTCACAAATCCTGCCAACTGAATCTTATTAGACGCAGAACAATACTTATTACGGATTCAAAGGTAACGATGAAGATATTCTTACCAAAACATTTGCTAACACCAGTTGCTTTGTCAACAAATACCTTAGCACTCAAGACCCTACCAAATGGTTGAAAAGCATTTGCGAGTTCTTGATCGCCAAATTCTTGAGGGATGTGGTATATGAATAAATTAGCTCCAGGTGGACCTAGAATCAGAGCAAATTCTTATAAAAACATAATGTAACAACCACATAACTTAATAATAAAAAAAGGGCAGGGAAGGGGAAAAAAATATCAATAAAAAGTTTCAACAACCTTCAACTTGACCCCCAAAACTTCCACTGACACTTGAAGATGCTGCAGACTGACTGTTTACTGTGGCAGGTGATACAGAAGCAGAACCACTCAAAGGCCTGTTACTCATCATTCCCCCAGGATATGCCATAGGATACTGAAGCCCTGGTACTCCCAGATACGCAGAGCCCACATAACTCGCTGGTGGTATAGCATAATTTCTTGTGGCCATACCAGGGACAAGATCAGGTATGACTCCACGCAATGCATTTCCTTGGTTTACTGGCGGAACTACATTATGGAAAGCAGGTTGATTCTGCACTGATGGAAGCCGATACTGCATAAGTCCATAAGTTCCAGGAGTCTACAAAAACAACTATATTTTAGTAGAATTGTAGCTTTAATAATGAGAAAGAGGAACCCCATGAAGCAAACAAATTAAAAACTCAGGCTAAGGATTTAAAAGAAGAGGAAAGGATGCTATACTGTTGGAATATTTTATAGTATACCACAGTGCTGTGTTTCAATAAAGAATGCTATACTATTGGAACATTTTATAACATACAAACTGTTGTGCTTGAACATATTAGCTTATGCATTGCGTGACATTAAATAATTTGAAATTTAAATCATGAGATGACAGAACCTGATAACCATATCCACTATAGGAGGGAATGTAACCCATTGTTAAGGATCCAAATAAAGATGGATGCTGCGCAGAGTTAGTATTTGGCACATTAGAAGCCTGAGGTTGAGCTTTCTGAGCCCTCCGAGCTTGCCTTTCTTTCTCCGTGTCTGCCCATTTGACAACTAAAGGAACACTAGAACCCTGATACAGAAAAGAAAACAATATTTCATTTCACAAAAGCAATTGATCCATTTAAACTCATGGCCTTCAATAATACGCATTCTAAAAAAATATAGACAATTAGGGCAGCAGAAGGCAAAATTCAAAGGGCTTAAGCATTTGACACTAATCACCAACATGAATCCTTGGACGTGGCATTGGTATACATGAACCCTCACAATAAGTAGAATAGAAATATTTTGCATTAGGCATAATCATAACTACATTTTAAGAAACCATATCAGGATTATATTAAACCTATTCCTGCAAAATGATTCCGATTTGAGAGCATTTTACAACGACCTGGTAGTTACATTTTTTTTTTTAAAGTATGAATTGCTAAGTTCATATCTTGGCCAATCCATTCAAGGTACACATGATAGAAATACCTCTGGGAAGCGTGTTTGATAATTGCAGGAAGCTAAACTAAATGCAAGCGATTCTATGAGATACAACATATATTCAATCTAAAATCTTCCTAAACTGCCTGTAATATTAGAGATAAAAAATAAAAAGCTTAGCAATGTGCTGACAATTAACTATAAAAAAATCAAATCAAATCAAATCAAAAAGGGAAAAAGAAAACAGCCTCGAACTATTATATACAAACTTTTTACAGCCAACACCACAAAATGGGTCAGAACTCGAAAATTGTTTCATCAACCAAGGTCTGGGTTTGCATGTGATTAATGAAGCACAAGTCATCAGAAGAATAAAATTCCTAACATATACAAGGCAAAATTGTTTTCATATTAATCATGCAACTTTTAAGATGAAACTCACTTCACTACAATCACAATCAACAATAAAGATAGTGTTGAGATATATATTATAGTATTGAGTATCAACACCAACATGTTTTAAGATGAAAACTTGTCCATTGAAAGAAAAATAAACAAAAACCTCCATTTTATGCTTCCCGTTGAGGGCCTCTATGGCTGCAAGAGCTTGTTCCTTTGTCTCATACTTAAGAAAAGAACAGCCTGCGATAATTGAGATAAGTAGCACAAGCAAGAAAATTATCAAGATGAGGTCAGATTTTAGTGGTTTGTAAGAATTAAAGCAAAAAAAGAAGTCAGGAGCAGAAGATGTGCCTTTGCTTGTTTGCTGAGAACCTCTCAGTATTTGCAAGTCTTTAACAGTTCCATATTCAGAAAACAATGCATAAAGCTCAGCATCAGAAACATTCTTTGGAAGCATACCAACAAAAAGTTTGTGTTCTGGATCACAGAACAAAAAAGTATTAATAAATTAAATGAAACAATAACGTATGATAGGGAAAAAGGCAAGTAAAATCAGTAAAAGATGGAGAATGAGAACTGGCACCAGCACGATTTAAGAGAACCATCTTAAGGACGAACCATAAGTAATAAAACAATGAAATTATATTACACCTAGCCTTTCCAACTCGCCATCTGCATACTTCACTTGCAACGGACTAGATGCCTGAATTGGACATAAAAGAACAGGATGGCTTTGAATCAGAAAGAGGACAACATGTGCCAGACCGAAACAGAAGCATAGAAGACACATAAAAAGTTATGTAGTTATCCGCTACAAATGATTTTAAAGCTTAAGTATTTCCAAATACTATGTAAATTTTCAAGTATACATACTTATAGTCTTATAGTGCATTATGAGGTTCGGATAAGATTTGAGCCATGACATCTGCTAATTTTATGCTCGCAATTAACACAAATATGCTATGACAAACAAAAAATAATATGCATATCATAGGAAACTGTTAATTCCTTTCCTTTTTCCACAGCCTTCTGATTTGCAGACTCCAAATGATAATATTATTCTTTTGCATATTACCAATAGTTTTGGTGGTTGCCATAAAAAACTGGACATATTCTCCAAAACCCTAAAGAGCTGGTTTATTCTATACACGCCTTTCCCAAGTCTTCACTTGAAGTTCATGGCCTCACTACCAGGGTTGTTAATAGGGCTGAGCCACAATTTAAGTAATGAATATCTATATTATGGTGTAAGAAATAATGTATAGAGAAAGAGAGAGAATAAATTGTATGTATTATTATTGATTGATATATTGATATGTTGTATTACAATGATTCATGATTCCTATATATAGAAGAGGGTGAGTGTGTAGTAGGTAAGGAGTAGGTGAAGTGGAGGTGGTAGTGGTAATGAATATCTATATTATGGCACTGAAAATTAGTCCATACAGTTGGCAGTTTCAACATGGTCAGTTTATAAATTGACATGTCAGTCAACAAAGAAAAAAGTCTGACTACATGGAGTGATATTTTCCAATACACCTATAATTTAATGCAAAATATGTAATGACTGTTACATTTGTCAAACCCAAGGACATTTCTCATACAACCACTCACATCACCAACAGTTTCAGTCCAAAATCTGGAATTACATCCTCCTCAGTGTCTGAAAAACTCTTTAACCATGAGTTCATAAGACTACATCAAAGCCATCGAGGAAGAATATTCCTCAGCAAGAAAAAAACTCTAAAAGGATAAGGCATCCACAGTCAGAAAGAATTATACATGTCAAGACATAAGTCTCTGAAAAAAGAGGGAGGAATAAATAAATAAATAAATAAATTTGGAAATCTAATACCAGGAAACATGTTCCTGGGCAAGAACAAGTCTCAAAAGCTTGGTGATAAAATAATTTGGGAAGCATTAGCAAGTGGATAGGAAATACTTCCAAATTGTTTAAGGCTATTCATAAAATCAGAAATTTATATTATTTAATGATAAATAACCATGGGAGGCTTAATATTGTAAAGTAATAGAATTACTAACTAAGTTTTATTCATAATTTTGACTATGCATGTGTGACTTTTCTTGTATGACCAATGACGATAGAGTTTTTCCAACTAAATATACATCATATCTACTAAGTTGAAAAGAATCACCAAATGTCTTTTTCTATAACTGATAAATTATCATTAATAATGATATCGACATAATATATTTACTCGTGTATGGGCATATAAGTCTATAAAAAAATTATTTTTAAAATGTTGTTAAGTAAAAGAATTATCAATATTCTACCATACAATGAAGTTTTTTTTTTTTTGGGTGGATAATCATACAATGAAGTTGATTCTTATCATAGGGGTCATAAAGCTATATAGCATTAATTATAAGAAGGTTAACTACATTTTTATCTAGTACCAGTTACGAAATTAATGTGGAACACGTTTCACGTGATTCTTTTTCTTCCCCTTCCTTTTTCCTTTAACAACTCCAAGGTTCTTTTATTAAAATTACTGGGGGGAATGTTTCAAATAGTAATTCTTTTTCTTCCTGTTCCTTTCACTTTCCTGCAATAACTCCAAAAAGGTTCTTTTATTCTTCCCCTGAAGTTCCATTAGCAATTCCACTCACTGTCCTGTTTCCAAAAATATTTCCCTCTTTAAATTTTCCAATTAGTTATTGCAATATTAATTTGGATTCAATTTTTTTAATGCATACTCCCCCACTCAACTTTTTCTTATACATCCATTGCTTGTCCACTTTCAAAGCAACCCAAGTAAACTGCATGATATACATTTGAGTTATGAAGTACGAACACAGACACAGACACGGTGATTTTAAAAAAATGGAGACACAGACATGACAGGGGATGCAAATTTTTTTTATTTTTTATTTTATACATTTTTGCTATGTAGATTACTAATTAATAAAAACTAACACTAATTCAATATATATATAAATCACTACATTTAAACAAATTAATAGATCATCTATATTTGGACACGAGTATTCCCGGCATGTCCCTGCCATGTCCCCACCGTATCCCTTGCAAAAAAAAATTAATAATAAAATTAAAGGGACACGCACGGCATGCCCCCGTGTCCGAGACTGTTATGGCACCTATTTTGAAGTGTATGTGTTTCATAGCATTTGAGGACAATGTCACATGTGTTGGAAATGGTAGAAAAATTCTGGGTAAAACCAGAATTTTTTCTCAAGTTTGGTCTATTTTTTGAGGACAATGTCACATGTTACCATTGTCAGACAAAATACTTGCTATTTATTCTTATTGTACTGACCATTCTTAAAAACAATACTTACTATTCGTTCTTATTCTACTTACGATTCATAAACACAATAATTACCATTATGATTTTGTTGGAAATGGTTATAAATTCTGCGTAAAATCAGAATTTTATCCTAAGTTCGGTCTATTTTTTAGGTGGGCCCCGTGTGTCGATTTTCACGGATCAAAGTGGTAACGCGTTCTATGTCGCGTTGTGATTCACGTGGTATATTTGGTTGCTCAAAACCATTACCGAGTGAATGGGAAATTGAAGCCAAAGTGTGCACCATGGAAATGGAGTTTTGGTGGAAATTCCTTAAAGGTTTGAATAAGGCTTGTCCCACATTGATTTGGTGGGAGGTTTTGAAAGGGTTTATAAGGCATGGATTTGGTACTTGGAGTGTGCCCCAAGGGGTACCCAAGTGTTTTAGAGGGCGAGGTTATGGGCAAAATGAGCTAGACCCATTGGACTCAAAAAACCACCACACACGCGCGCGCCGCTGCCGCCGTCGTCCGTCCAGTGGGGGGGCGGGCGAGCTGGGCTTGGGCGCGGGTGCGTGGTGTGTGGTTGGGTTGGGCTTGTCCGGCCCAATACTAATCTTTTTGGGTTATTTTTTGGTAAAATAAAATTCAGAATTCAAATTAAACTGATTTGGATTTTCGGTACATCCAAACAGAGCCCTTCCCGTTTTCAAACAGAAATAAACTAGTTTGGAATTAGTACACACCCAAAACAGGGCCCTTCCCGTTTTTTGCCATCTATTTGAATTATTAACAGATTCAAATCTGTTTGAATTCAAAACCAACAGGTTTCATACCTGTTCAATTTAAAACCAAGAGTCACCTTTACATCTATAAATAGGATCACCCTCATTTGATTTTTTTTTCATTCAGAAATTTCGTATTTCACCTCTGCTTATTCTATTCTTCATTTTGTTGTATTTTATTTCTGAAAGAAAGTGTGTAAACACTTAGTGTGTTCATAAGGCAAACAATTTGTAGTGCTGCTATTGTTTGTGGTAGATCATTTCATCCTGGGAGATAGACGTCCAATTTCTGAAAGCACCGTGGAGAGGACGAATCTGTCTTAAGGACACAGTGTCAAACACTGGACTTGATCAGAAAATAATTCGGAGAAATTAAATCAAGTAAGTTATTTAATTTATTTTCGGTGTTGTTTTTTTTTTATTAAAATCATATTTAAATTTTGTTTTTGTAACAAAATAAAATCTGTTATTTATTTATCCTACAATCTTAAGACAGATTCCTTTTTGGGTATCTTCATTGTATTTAATTTTTTGTGTTTTCAAATTAATATTCTGGTTGGAAAAACAAATAGTGATTTATGCTCTTTGACAGATAGTAGTAATATACTGTCTCTTTTCTTTGACAACTACTAGTAGTACGATACTGGTGTCATTAACAATTCAGAATATTATTTGGTATTACAGAAAATTCTTGTGATATTTTATTTTTCTAGTTTTAGTAACAAGGAAAATAAAATTATTTTGTTGTTATAATTATTTTCTGGTTTTAGTAACTAGAAAATTAATTTGTGTTTTATTTTTTTTTTGATTTTTGTAATCAGAGATTATGGCTACTACAACTGAAACTGCATCTGGCAGTGGTACTCCTATTGTTACACCTACATCGGTCCCTATCCAGAACCATGTTCATGTACCAATCAATCATGGAGAAAAACCGGAAAAATTTAATGGTACCGAGTTTAAGAGATGGCAGCAGAAGATGCTGTTCTATCTTACGACTCTTAATTTGGCCCGGTTTCTCCATGAAGAGGCTCCAGCACTTAAAGAGGGTGAAAGTGATCGGCAAGTTGTTGCCGCTGTAGATGCTTAAAAACATTCAGATTTCTTGTGCAGAAACTACATCCTAAATGGCCTTGACAATATGCTGTATAATGTATACAGTCCTCTGAACAGCAAAAGAATTGTGGGATTCTTTGGAGAAGAAATACAAGACAGAAGATGCCGGCACGAAGAAATTTGTCGTCGGTAAATTTCTAGATTTTGTTATGGTTGACTCCCAAACGGTAATATCTCAAGTTCAAAGTTTTCAAATAATTTTGCATGATATTCATTCAGAAGGTATGTCTCTTAGCGAGTCATTCCAAGTCACTGCTTTAGTGGAAAAGTTACCACCGGCTTGGAAAGATTTCAAAAATTATTTAAAACATAAACGCAAAGAGATGACTATGGATGAATTGATTGTAAGACTAAGAATTGAGGAAGATAACCAAAAGGCTGAAAAGAGGAATGGGAAAAACCCCATTGAGTCCAAGGCAAATGTAGTTGAACAAGTTCATAAACCACATAACAAAAAGAGAAAGTTTAATGGAGATGGTCCTAAACAAGGCGATAGTAGCAAGAAGTTCAAAGGAAAATGCTATAACTGTGGCAAAACTGGACATCGAGCTTTTGACTGCCGCCGCCCTAAGAAGAATCATGGAAGTACAAGTAAGAAGACCACCAATCAGGCCAATGTAACAGAATTGGATTACATCTCTGACGGAGTGAATGACATCAACCTTTCTGCTGTGGTGTCTGAGGCTAACTTGGTTGGAAATCCCAAAGAGTGGTGGGTTGACACTGGCGCAACTCGTCACATATGTGCGAACAAGAAAATGTTCACTACCTACAATGAGGCTACAAATGGTGAACAACTTTTCATGGAAAATTCTTCTACTTCTACTGTGGCTGGTCAAGGAAAAGTTATCTTGAAGATGACATCAGGGAAAGAACTGACCCTCAACAACA